GACGTCCCAGGACCAAGTGATCCATATCTAAGGGAGCACCTTCACTGGTAATATTTGGCATTTCTTACCTTGGGGATGTCAGTATGTTACAGAGGAATAGCACCACATCTTGCACTAAGCCAACGATCCTATCCTACATTAGATGCTCCTGGGTCCTACATTATAATAAATAAACCAGAAGCATTTTGCAGATTGTATTAGTTTGTTTGTAAGTGACAAAGATTGAGAACTATGAATGGTCCATGACATTGGTCAAAATTACATGTATAAGGCAATCTATCACTGAAAATCTAAAACCAGGGTAGGTGAATATCCCCCATAGGCAAAAGTTCGTTTATTGTAGGTAGTATATCCCCCATAGGTGAAAATCTAAGTGAGTTTTATCTGTCTCTAGGGCATAACTTTGTTAGTGACTTTACTAGATAACATGGATGTGCCTGCCTAATAAGTAGGCTACAAATTAAACCTAAATGGTCAGAAACCAAGGAATTAGATTACGAAAATAAAAGACAGGGGAGTAAATTTGATGCCCTAAATTGATTAACAAAAATTCAGAAGCGACGAAAGAAAGAACATGGATCATGTATTTTAGGAGTCTATAGCTAACCACTTCCAGCTGATTACTCCAGTGGCCTAGTCAAGTAAATAGTTTATTTTGAATGCTGAATTAAACTTATTCATAATATCAAAAGCAAAGTCAATTAATGTTAATATTTGGGTTACAGTAGTTTCTGACTCTTCCTTAAGCACATTAGAAATAAAATGGCATAGTAAATTGAGTAAAAGAAAGTGTAGTGTCATAGATTATCATGCAAAGCAACTTATTATGTCTAATATTAGAGGTTCAAACTCCTACAAGAACGAGTCAATTATCTTATTGTGAAAGCAAAGAGCTATTTCGACCAATATTTTATTGAAACCAATGAATCGATTTGCAAGTTTAAAAAGGCACAACTCAGTCAAAAGTCAACTTCACAATAAGGCAAAAGAACAGGCATATGCTCAGCTTAAATTATGAAATCATTGACAGTGGCATCTGCTCAGTTAAAATTATCACAGTTAAAATCATTGGCATCACAGGCAACATCACAGTTAAAATCACAGTTGCATCACAGGTAGCATCACAGGAAACATGTGCACAGGCAACACAGGCAGCACATGTGCACAGGCAAGATCACAGGCAACATGTGAGCTCGGGGACAAGCAAAATCACAAGCAAACCTAGGATCACATGCAAGACCTTTGGTTGGAGGAGATAGTGCACAGGCAAGATCACAAGCAAACCTAGGATGAGCTCAGGGAGGAGTGAAGATGAGCTCGGGGACAAATGGAGCGCGGGCCATCCTCGGTGCGGGCGACGGCGATGGCGTAAGCCGCTGCCGGCGGTGGCGCTCGGGGGAAGACGGCGTATGGCGGCGGATGTCCTCGCCCATGGCTAGGGTTCCGTAGTGGGTCCCAGCGACAGACGGAGCCAAGGAAGACGGTCGAGCCCCAGCGGCGGCGGCAGAGCTTCTCGCCCCCACGAACGGCGGCGGTGCTAGGGTTAGCAGCAGGACCTCGCGGAGCTCCAAGGCATGGAGGACGAAGAGGAAGAGTGGGGAGGATTGCCAGAGCGCACGGCCGGGCGCGCACGGGCCAGCGGAGGTGAGAGGAAGCGGCGCTACGGCACGGAGATGGTGGCGGCGGTGGCGGTGGGGGCAGGGGGAAAATTCAGTAGCCTGACAGCGTCCGCAAGGAAGAAGAGTGCCCAGACGTAGCCAAATTTTGGCCTCCCCGTGCGCCCTACATTTATACTAGGGACGATTTGTAGGGGCGGATAGTGAGTGAGCCGCCCCTACAAATGTATTTGTAGGGACGGTTCCTGACTAAATCGTCCCTACAAATATTTTTCAATTTATTTTTATTACTTGTTCTATATATATTTGTTTTCTGATTATTATATATATATAAATGTATCTATATATACATTTTTTCAAGATCACTGGCAAGTGCTGCGGTTGCTCATCCTCTCATTGAAGGGATTCATTCTATCGGTGCTCAAGCCAAACCGTATATTCCTTGGGTCATCGCTGAATTCTTTGTACTTCTCATCGATCCTTTGCCACTGACTACAATCAGCCGGGTGTGCAATCTTATCATCATCCACCTTGCGCTCATCATCCCACCATGTTATGAGTGCGACTTCTTTAGGGTTTAGGAAGATACGTCTCAAGCGGTCGGTCGCTGGTAGGTACCACATTACCAAGGCAGGAATTCTTCTCTGCTTTGCATCGTTGCCAAATGGAGTGTCCTCTGGGGGCTGAGATTCTTGTACCACCTTTTTTGTACCCTTCTTATTCCTCTTTTTCCCCGTAGAGGCTTCATCCCCACCGTAAAGGTCATTGTTCTTGTTTCGGCTGGCCCCACACCAGAAACATTTATCCAGTGACTTGAACGTTTCGCCACGAAAAAGGATACAGTGGTTGGGGCATGTCTGGATTTTTTCAACCCCCATTGTCAATAGACTTATGACCTTCTTCGCTTGGTATGTGTTGGTGGAAACTGAGTTTGGTTGTGGCAGCACCCATGATAGGAGACGCAATAAATCATTGAAACTACAGTCTGACCAGCCGTACTTAGCCTTCAGAATGAGTAGCTCAAGCACAAAACGTAGCAATGTCCAATGTGTCGGACAGCCCTTTTCAACACCATACACATTCTCCTTCGATGCTTTTATCACCATTTCCAAATTTTCTAGATCTTTTAGGTTCTTTAGTAAAATCTCTGGTCTAAGGACCCGAATCATTTCCTCTAAATCATCAAAATTATCTTCAGCACCAACACGTGCTCCCCCATCATTATTGGCACCACCTTCGTCATTACCATCCCAACCACCAGCATCACCACCTTATTCATTGCCAAACTCAGGATCCATTTGTACATCAAGCTCTTCTGAGTATTGGGACAGATATCCTAGGGTTTCGACGTCGTCTTCTTCATCATCGTCGTCATTATCAACAACCGTTGTTTCACCATGATGAATCCACACTGTGTAGTCCTCAACAAATCCTCGCACAATCAAATGTTCTCTGATGATACTCACATCTGTCCATGCCATAAGGTTCTTTCAATCTTTACAGGGACAAATAATTGTATTCTTATTCTCTCTCAATGTCGTTGCAAGTTTCTCTGCGGCTTCAATAAATATGTCCACCTCTTCGTGGAAACCTGCCTTGAACCTTAACGAACCATACATCCAGGACTTCCTGTACTCCATCTTTTAAAACACAACAATTAAAGAAAATACATTAAAGGACTACTAATTTAGATATATATGCAAAGGAATCAAATTAATAATAAATTACTTGACAATAATTCTATATACTTCATATATATATAAATATAAATATAAAATAAAATTACATGAAGCATATCAAACACACACCATGGTAGAGGGTAATTAATTAATGGCCCATTTATCAATAAATAATTAAAAACATATATTCATTAATTAAAATAAATAATTTCAAAGACAATAATTTGCAACAATTAATATTGTACCCACTACCTTTCATGCAAACCCTATTCCAATTTCATGAAACATAAATTTACAAAATTAAAATTAAAAAAACAAACTCTAGATCTAGATCTAAATCTACATGTACATGAAACATACATGAAACTAGGGTGTAATCTCAACTAAAATCAAGCAAGATCGACTAATAAATGGTGTAATCTCATTTATCTAACTAATTTACACTAATAGCTTTAAAACTAGAGTCTAATTTGCTTCATACAAAGCTCAAACACTATAGAAGAGAGAGAAAAGCAAAACTCTAATGACGATCACTAACCAACCATTAAAACTTCAAATAAAGATATGGAATAGCATTTTCTTACCTTGTATAATCTCTCTACCAAAGTATTTGAGATCAAAATCCCCCTTAGTAGAGCATTTTTTGGAGGAGCCCAAGGCCTCCCAACCTTTTTTGCTCGGGTTGGAGAGAATGGCCCGAGGTGGAAGAAGGTGGCTGCTATATATACAGCGGACATTTGTAGAGGTGGCTAGTGATTCAGCCGTCCCTATAAATGGACACAGCAGGGGCGGCTGGTAATAGTCGCCTCTACATACCAGCCGCCCTTACAAATCGACGCATTTGTAGGGGCGGCTCGTATTACCAGCCGTCTCTACTGTGCCATTTGTAGGGGTGGCTACTGTGCTGGAGCCCGAGCACGTCACTGTAGGGGCTGCTCTAATGGCAGCCGCCCCTAAAAAAAGTCACATTGCTATAAACTATTTTTCACGTAGTGGTGTCGCCGGCCTCGCTGTCGCGGTCCACCGCCGCCATGCACCACCCGCTCGTCTCTCTCGACGTCGCCGCGCGCGCGGTAGGCCTCGAGGAGGGAGCCCCAAACGAGCGCGTCGGGCGGCATGGGCATCGCCGCGACAAGCGCCGCCGCCTCGTCCAGCCTCCCCGCGCGGCCGAGCATGTCGACGACGCACCTGTAGTGCTCGATGCCGGGCGCCACGCCGTAGGCCTCTGCCATGGCGCCGAGGTGATAGAGGCCCCCCTCGTCGACGAGCTCGGCGTGGCAGGACGCGGAGAGGACGCCGAGCAGCGCCATGCCATTCAGCCACACACCGGCTCGCCGCATGGCCGCGAACAGCGTTAGGGCCTCCTCGGCGCGGCCGTGCGTGGCCAGCCCCATGATCATGGACGCGTAGGTGTACACATCCCGCCGCGGCATGCCGTCGAACTCCGCCGTGGCCTGGTCCACCGCGCCGCACTTGGCGTACATGTCGAGGAGCGCGTTGCCAACAACGACGTTGGCGTGGAGCCCCGACGCATGTACGTGTGCACCCACCTCCCGGTATCGAGCGCGCCAAGCTGGGCGCACGCGCCGAGGACGGCCACGAACATCACGCCGTCCGGGCGCACGCCGGCGCGCTGCATATCCCGGAACATGGCCAGCGCCTCGATGTGCTGGCCAGCGCGTGCGAGCGCCGCGAGCATGGTGTTCTAGGACACGACGGTCTTGGTCACCGGCATCCCCCGGAACCTCCGACGCGCCGCGGCCACGTCGCCGCACTTGGCGTACATGTCCACGAGCGCGTTCCACGCCACGACATCGAGCGCGACCCGCGCCGCCGCCACGCGCCGGTGCGCCTCCCGGGTGAGCGCGAGGTCCCTCGCCTCCGCGCAGGCCGCGAACCCTGCGGCGGCGGCCACCGCGTCGACGAAGACGCCGTCGTCCAGATCGAGCATCATGAAGAACAGCGCCACGGCGTTGCGGGCGAGGCCCAGCCTCGCGTGCCCGGTCACCATGGCTGCCCAGGAAACTACGTCCGGGCCGTCGCCCGGTAACGCGTCGAACAGGGCCGTCGCGGCCGCGTGCTCGCCGCACGCGAGGTAGAGCTCGCGATGAGGCCGTTGCGGACGGTGCGCTCGCGGTCCAGCCCGAGCTTGGTTGCATGGGCGTGCACTGCCACCGCCGCCGCGGTGGAGGACGCGGGCAGCGCCTTGATGAGCACCCGGAGGCCGCGGGCGTCGGCCGGGGCGCCTCGCCGGAGCGACGGCGCCACTGCGTCGGCCTTGGGATTTCCATGCCCGTGATGGTGAACTGAAGCTGTAGCCGTGGGCTTGCTGGCGTGTCCGAGGTGGACGTGCTGCTGCAATACTGGATAAGGCGCCATGGATGGCCGTGCAGCGTGCACAGTGCACGCTGTGGTGGACTCGTGTTCTTGGAAGTTGGAACCATGGATAAGCAACGAGAGGCTGACGTGTGGGGGCCGGACGAGTGTTGCAGACAAGCTGGACCGCGCGTTCGCGGTTGGAGGTGGCCGCTGTGTCAGTGTGATGCCTCTTTTTTTTTAACAACAATGTGATGCCTCTTTTCAGGCGCCAATTTCTTGCTGAAATTTGAAATGTTGGACCAACTTGGATTTTTAATTTAAGGGTGTTAAGTAACTAATTATTATATATATTGACTACGAAGAAAAAAAATTCACTACAAAATATTGTCAAGTTTTCTGGAGATGAAAACTTTACCACAGTAAGTTGTTAAAAAAACAAAGGTACTGTGTAAAATTCATGATTTTTGGACAAAATAAACATTTGAAATAAATAAAACTGCACATGACAGTTTTCTATATATCAGGCACAAAAAAATGAAGTTTTGTATTTTTCATATCTAGATGTAAACATTACAAGCCTTACAAAATTTGTTTTGCTATTTTTATTTTTTTACTGATTTACTACGCATTTTAAAGTTCACTGTAATATTATCCACACAGAAAAAGCATTTGCTTTTTTTTCTCTCTCGGTACCAACACTTTCTCACCGATGGCATGCTATACCCAGTACCCTCGGCTATACCCAATTGTCCTCGGATTATCAGTTACAAGTAGAGCTGAGAGCCTGAGACTGGACCTTGCCATTTGAGAACGGTCGTAGCATGGTATTGTGGGACGACCCAAAGTACGGCAGGATATTCTGGGGGCGTGTTGGCACAACACAAACGTGTGTGTCATGCCTAGACAGTCTGGCTCATATTTTAACCCCAAGTTAAAATATGACTTTTTTAACCCCAAGTTTGACCACTTGTCTTATTCAAAAATTTATGTAAAATATCACTTTTCTTTTCTGTGGCTTGTTTTATTAACAAAAGTTTTTCAAGAACGATTTAAATTTGACTATGTTTGCTCAAATTTTTTTGAATAAAATAAGTGGTCAAACTTGAAGTTAAAAAAGTCAAACGAACTATAATTTAGAACGAGGGAGTAATTTTTAAATGGATTACGAAAATCATTGAATTTTTTTAAAAATAGTACATACAAAAATATTTTTTACATGTCACGAGCGGACAAACAAAACTAGCAAAGATATTTGGGAAAATTAGTTTTGTAGCACCTAAAGAACTCCGCTTCTGTAAATTACCATTGAATGATACTCGTCACGTAAAATACTATTGAAAGACAGTGGCATAGTGCTGCTACCTCTATCTACAGTTCCGTCATGGTGGCACACTAACGTTGTGAAATCCACTTCCAAACACCTGAAGGATAAAACGCTGGGTCCTGCTCCTCCCTGGTTTGATGAGCGCCAGCACTTGCTCGTTCTCCTCGTTGCCGGCGGCAGATGCCTGGTGGAATTCCAAAGTTGTCGCCAGGTCACGTGAGGTTGCCACGAGGAGCGCGGCTTGTCCCGTCGTCCTCGACTCTGAGCAGCGTGGTGAGCGTGGTCTCGACCTTGCGCTCTAGGCGGCCTGTGTGGTGGCGTCGGCCGCCTTGGGCTCGAGACGCACACGCACGCAGGAAGGTAGCTTCGAAGATCACACACTACAAGAAATGTGTTGGTTTATGACGTTTATGGTATGACATCATGTCAAAAAGTCACTAAATCAACTAGTTTATGACGTTTTTCCTAGAGGCATCTAAACTTAGTGACATAACTAAATGTATATCACAAAAAATGTCTTAAAGCTAGTCCAATTGTATATAATGACAATATTTGCCATGTCATAAAGAGTAATTTTGCAAGGATGGTATTTCACAAATTATTTTATTGATTTTATTAACATTGTTATCCAAGGTGGCATGCGGGTCCAACTATCAAGATGGGTCTAGTAACACCCTAGGTGTTAATAATTGTTGTTATCATGTCCATAATTATATATCATTCTAGTAACTTGCAAGTTAAAGAAATCAAGATGTATATATAAAATATATAAATATTGTTTATTGTTAATTGTTTGAAATCGTACATAAAAATGTACACATATACGTATATATGAATAACAATAAACAATAACATACATATGCATCGAAACGTTGCTTGAACCACGGCCACTAGAAATTTGAACTAATATGCACCCCAAATTTAGACAAAACCTTACATCTACCACAAGTTAAAAAAATGAGGTTTTAGAAAAAAATTGGAAGTAGTTTAAATGAATTTCTTGTGTTAATTGGAACAAATTCTAAATCAAATTGTGTGTACTTGTAAAAGTATATTTGAATTGTATGTATGTAAAAGTTATATTTGAAAAACGATCTGTGTGTATAAAAAAGCCAGCCCGCCTAAAACTCACGTGAAGCACCAAAATTAGAAAAAAAAGACAATGCCTGAAACAATGTGCGGACGCCAAAACAAGGCTCAAAACCCACAGCGCGCGTGCACGTCAAGCGCCAAAAGATGGCCCAAACAAAAAGATCCACCCCTCCCCAAACCCTAGCGCCGCTCGCCCGACTCCCTCCGGATCCCGCACAACGCTACCATCGGTCCCCGCTAGCGCTAGGCCGCCACCCATCCCGCGCGGCGCGCCCATCAACGCGGATCCAGTGAGGAAGGCATGAATCGAGGCGGCGGTGTGGGCCAGGGATCTAGATCTTTTTTTTATTTTTCTTCTTCTTCTTTTCCAAAAAAAAGATTTTTTTCTTTGCCGAGTGTTCTAGATCTAAACACTCGGCAAAGTTTTTTTTTCATTTTTTTTCTTCTCTTTCTTTTCCAGAAAAAAGATTTTATTTCTTTGCTGAGTGTTTTTTTTGACACTCGGCAAACCCGATCTTTGCCGAGTGTTTTATTTACATCGGCAAACCCCCTATTTTGCCGAGTTTTTTTTTTGCCGAGTGTTTTTAACGCAGCACTCGGCAAAGAACTTAGTCGCCGAGTGCCCGAAGGAATACACTCGGCAAACATAAAAACACTCGACAAATTTGAGAATTCCGGTAGTGACGCCGCGCACCTCGCTGGCGTCCATGCTGCTCGTCGCGGCGGCGGCGCGAGCTAACGATGACGTGATCAAGCAGGGCAGCGGCTCGAGCAGGCGGCGCCGGCGCCGGCGCGAGCAGACGACGACCTGAGCGAGCAGGGCCACAAGCGCGTCTTCGTACTACACGGCGTTCATGCCGCTCAAGTCAAGTACGACGGCGTTCATGCCGCTCAAGTCCGACGGCTCTCTCTGCATCATGGAGGCGCTCCGGAGGAGCGATCAGCAAGATCACCACGGTACGTACAGTACAATATGTGCGAAGAAATGCAAAGCAATCTAGGCAGCTGAGTTGATGGCCGGCGTCGTCAACCCGTTTCGTTGTGGCAGAAGCCGACAGGGAACCTTTCGGCCATTGGACGGCCGACAACCCACGTGGCAGCTGAAAGCCGTAGCCGGCCTCCTTCCTCTCCTGATCTCCTCGCCTCTCTCTGTTTCTCTCCTCTGGCTCGTGCCGCAGGTAAGAGGCACCTTTGCTCCGCTCCCCCGATCTTTTGTTTTCGCCCGCCTCGGATCTTGCGTCTTTGCACCCTTCTTGCCAGTGGCGGGCAGTACCGCAATAGTTCATACGACCCTGACAGACGTGTCGGCGTCGATCTTTTGCAGGCACGGAGGAGAAAAAGCGCAGAGCTTCTCCCACAGCAGCAGCAGCAGCACCGCCGCCGAGCGGGAGCGGGAGGGCCACGCCGACGCAGAAGCCACGGCGGCGCAGGTGGAGGCGGCGCTTAACCGCAAGAACGTGGACGTGGTCCAGGGGGAGGACCACACCGCAACGCTGGTCGCGGCCGACGCGGCCGAAGCGCTGTGCGGCGTTGGCGACGGCGACGCCGCCGGCGCCGAGGACGCGTGGGTGCCCGACCAGGAGACGGGCGTGTTCGTCCCGGCCGACGAGGCGTACGGCGACGGGACCGGCAACGGCAACGGCAATGGGCATACCGTGTCCGCGTCTCCGTCGGTGCTGGACCAGGCGGTGTTCGTCCGCGAGGAGGACATGGAGGACATGGCACCGTGAACGTGGCCGACGCCGGCGGCGAGTGAGCGCGGTGACCGCGTGGCTTGCCGCTTACCGTGCCTTCGGCCCGCTGCTGCCACTGGCAGGCAGCAGAGTAGTTGTAGGCTGTAGCGAACAAGTTTTTTCCTAGCTTCGTGAGGGATGGAATAAGTCAGATTTAAAGCCTCCTCTTTGTGCACGGTTGTTGGAGGTAGCAGCTCCATGAATTTGCATCACGGTGCATTGCCGTTCCGTTCTCGCCGGCGTAGTCCAGTCCGTAAGCGAAAACGAAAAGAGGGCATGGCCATAGGCCATAGGAGCAACCCCCTCCCCCGTACGGTATACTGCTGAGAAAATTGGGATTTTGCACATGAATTCGGCAAATGGATTTCGCCCGAATGCTATTGAAGTTGCGGGTTTCGCTCAAATACCTTTAAATGACATTTCATAGTTTCAAATCAATCCTTTTTTGAAAGAATTGTGACATGAAGTTCCCGTTTTGCCCGTGCTCTGTCTCGCTCTCTCGTTCATCCCTCTTCTCTTTTCTCGTTCTTCAGCAGGGACGGCCGGAGCGCCGTCAGACACTTAGCTTGCACTGCCACCCAACAGTCGCAGCGCCGCACCGCCCACTGCCGACCGTGACGACTGCGGAGAGAAGGGAGCATGCCGCAGGGAGCGGGAGCCACGCGGAGACGGCAATTGTCGCTTTGTCGGGTGGGAGGGAGCCACCACCAACAAGTCCACACCCTGCGGTGTGGGGGTGTGTTGGACTCGTCCGTGGCGACGATGCTTGGGGCGGGGCTACCGGATTCGTATCAACGATGTTCGGCGTGGGGGCGGCGGACTCATTTCGAATGGCATGAACACGTTCGAGACGAGGGTGAAGCCTGAAGGTAAAACATTAGGGGGGCAAAATCGTCATTCCATGTCTGATTATTTTGGCGAAAATACTTAAAATAAGGATGAAATTCCAAAATGGCACTTTAGAGGAAGGAACCCGTTTTATAAGGGCGATTAGACGAAGCCCACAACTTTGATGTCGGTAGTGAAACCCACTTTGCCATGAGCTGGTACAATTCTTATTTTCTCCTACAATGCTCGGGGAACCCAATTGGGCACTGGAATCTGGTGGTTGTACTAGCTAGCTAGGTCTATGAGTTGCCACCATGCCACGTGTCATGACCTAACGAGTAGGTATTTTCGCTTAAGGGCTTGTTTGGATGTACTTGTGTTTACCTCAATCCTCATGTACTGGAATGAATTATCGTGTAATTAAATTATTTTAATTTTCTGAAATCATTCTAATACTTCATATGGATTGAGGTGGATATGAATAAATCTTGGATTGAGCCATTGAGGTGGATACGTGTGCATTGAAATAAGCTCTAACTGAACACCGCTTCGTACCATGATGGTGGGAAAAGCTTCATCTCCAAAAGCTCGTTAAAAATTACTTTATAAATTAAAGATCATGCCAAGTAAACAAAAATTAATATATAAACTAAAGGTTATGCTATAATACTAAGTGAACAAAAATGAATGGAGAGTTGTATTTTACCCTTTTTTAATAATTTTTAATAGCTTTCTAGCTTCCTCATGATTAGAATAAGTCAAATTTCAAATCTCCTCTTTGTGCAAGGTTGTTGAAGTTCGCGTTACAGAGCTCCATGAATTTGCATCACAGTGCACAGGGCATTGGCGACGATGACGTCGTCTGCCTTCGTGATTTGTGATGGGAGGATAACGAGACAACTATATTATTTTTGGAGTATTTTTTTTCAAAAAATTGATATGATTTTATTTAATTATAGTCTCCTGATTGTTTGTGATCTAATTTAAAGTTTTAAACCGAGCTTAACGTGCAGAGTGAAAGTCCAAAGTCATTCAAAATGAAATCATTTATATTTTGAAAGAAAAACAAGTTCAACGAGCCAAGCTAACGGTTTTTTGTCCAGCCTTGGCCATGGAGGTGTGCAGCCACCTCCATCCACGATGTCAAAACACACATATACATGAGGCACGTACACATGTGCACTATATATCTCTAATCCCCTACGGCAGAGACAGTGTGTCACCAGGGTAGGGCATAGTCCGTAAAGACAAAAAGATTGCAAGGCCAAAAGAGCACCATACGAACACCAATGCTTAGGGGATTGTGCATTGAAATTAGGTAGGGCTTGTTTAGCTACAGACCAATTAATCCACCTTAATCCACATATGTCGGAAGATATTCGGATAGAAAATTAACTAATTATTCAGACCAACACCTTTCAACCCGTATCAATTAGAATGGATTGGTGTCCAGCAAAAGAAGACCGTAGTTGGACTAGCTAAGTCTATAGATTGTCATGTGTGTTGGAACTGAGCACAATTCTGGATCACGAGAGGTTGCAAAATCTTGGTAATTAAGTTGGGTATTGCTGACATGGCTCATGCATGTGCTTTCCATAGTGAGTTTCTATAATAGAAACTACAAGTTCAAAAGGAATCCAACAAAGAAAGAAATTCAGCTTTATAATATTAAGAAAATAAAGATAACTAACTCACATGCACCTAAACAGTCATGAGAATGCTAAGCCTTCAAGATAGTAGTGTGACCTTGATATTTGTGTTGATGTGTTGGTAAAAGAAATGCCATTTTAGAATTGTATACAATAAAGTGCTAATATAACCATCCATCTTTGCACTATTACAACTTATATACCATGCATAGATATTCGCGTTCAAAACCATGCACATTTGAAAGAAAAGAGAATGAATGTGGATGGATCTAACTTCAAAATGCTGTAGCATGTCACTAGGACAACACATTAATTGTCCAGTTCCTCCATACAAAGGTTAAAACTTGTGAACGGACTAGTTTAGAATGAGACCTGTCCACTAGCTGTCCTAGATTAACATGAGTACTCACATTTTTATGGAACTCAACATTTTACACAGATAGCACATGTCCATATGGGTGTACTCCAAATTAAAGAACATGTGTATAAACATCATATTGAAAAATATGATGATGATTGTACATTCTTATAAGCACCTCTATACCATACAATCATGCACTTAATATTTTTCTTGTATTTTGTTCACAATCAATTAAGTGTTGTTAGTAATAGAAGAGTATACTAATACTTAATTGATCAAGTTTATATGCAAATGACCATCTTGAGCTCAACAGCCAAAGTCATAGTTCGGTAGGGTTAACAACAAGTGTGTAATTCATTTCAGACTTGGAATGGTTGCCTAAGCTGGTCTAATGCTACATTAAGAAATAATAATTGACCTCATTTTTTTTCAAGATATTAAGTTATCTCGAGATCTCAACACTAAGTGTTCAAAGGCATGTGGAGCGACCACATGAGAAATAGTCAAAAGTAAGATTTTTCCTAGTACAATAGCCCATGTTTGTGCGTGCACGCATGTATGTTTATGCGCATGTGAGTGTGCTTGTGTGTTGTGTGTGCGCGCACGTGCGTGTGCGTGTGCGGTGTGTCTGTGTGTGTGTGTGGGCGCATGCGCGTATGTGCGTGGTCTAGGTCTAGTACTGACAACCATCGTGCTGGTTTACTTGATGAGTCAAAGAAGAAGACAGTAACGCCATCTTTTCATAAAAGAAATCTAGCAAACAAGACAAGTTTATCTTGGTAAACTGCTGGCCATGTGTTGCCGTACTTATACTCACCGAAACCAACATTCTCCCATAGAGGTAGTTCTTTGACAATGATGCCATCTTGTGGTACATCCAAGTGCACCACGTAGAGCCTCTCACCAATACCCATACATATGATTTGGCCTTTGAATGTCACAATCTATTTAATGGGTAGTTGTTGATGATATGACATGTAGATGCGCTTTTACCAAGCATCACTTCCAATTCAACAAAAAAATTAGGCAGAAATGATGTTGATAAAGAGGCATGCATTGGGCAATACATTGCAGCGGTGAGGCCGAAGTAAATTTGATCATTGTAACAACCATACCGGCTAGCCATAGAAAACGGGACTAGACAAAGTGGAGGTGAAACACTGGTGCCAGTGAACACATCGACAATAGTGATGCAACTTGTGTCGATAGAGAAAAGATGGCATGGCCATAAGAAAGCCCTACAAACTCCATGTTCATAATGCTTGGGGGATTTGGCGATGAAATCTGATGGTTGGATTGACTAGGTCCATCAATTGCCATGTGTGATGAACTTGGCCATTATATTTTACTACTTAAACGAGCACAACTTAATTTGAAGGATGAGAGGTGGGAAAGGCTTCAATAAGGTGGGTTTAGCTAACATGAAGGTTGCACGCTAACTGGGGCGGGTGGCTATGAAGGCAAGAAGGTCATGGTCTCAACTCTAGAGCATAATAATTGATTGGAGTAACACAATTGGGAGCTGAACCCAACCTTGTTGTCAAGGGCGGAGCTAGAAAGTTGATTTTTTAAATGTTAGGAGGGGCCAACCATGTTGAAATTTTAAAAATTTTAGTGGAAAATTCACATTCATAGGGGGGGCACCTGGGCCCCTGCCTGCCCCCCTTGTCTCTGCCCCTGCTTGTGGTCTAGCCACACGGAATAACATGGGCATGGTGGTGGCAGGGTTCATGCAAGTGCTTTCCATGTTGAGATTCCTATAATCCTAAATTAGGGTCCAACAACACTAATGACTCTTACACGTAGGACCATTGAGGATAACAACTACATAAGTAAACAATCAGCTCAAAGGATCAAAGAACCACGATAAAAACTACCACAAGAACGATGACCCTAATAAGCTAATCTACCATGGAGGCACAAAACAAACCACGCATATCACAGTAGAGCAAAAGCCTACTAAAACAATGTCTTCTGAATATACATCTTAGCAAACTCTAAGGAGGGAAACTATGACCATAACTAAAATGGTCACCTAACAATGGATAGATGTTATAGGCAAGAACACTCTACAACTGCATATGCACTCACTCTGAAACAACTATGTCCTTTAAACATAAAAGGCAACCAAAGCAACAAAAGATAGCATGAGAGGGGTG